AGAAGCTTCCAGGAATGAGCAATCTAAGTTATTTACTGTATTTCTAAGCATATGTAATTGTGTTTGTGTAATGTCCACTTTAAATATCACATCGGCTTTAAGCATGTATGTGTGCTGCAGTAGAAGACAAGATTTTTAGAACCTTTATGCACAGAAAATACAGTATTCTGACTTACCTACTCACATAATGTAATTTTAAATTAAAATTGTAATAATGATATACTATAATATGGATGGATAGATCTTCTTTCTAGTCTATGCTTCAAAATAATATGGATGGAGGGATGAACGGGTGTGTGGAAAGTTCGGCCATGCATTAGTAATTGCTGCACCTGGATAATGGGTACTGTTATATATGTTTGAATTCTCTGTAAAGGAAAGCTAAAAAAAAAAAAAAAAAAAGGCCAGGCGCGGTGGCTTACGCCTGTAATCCCAGCACTTTGGGAAGCTGAGGTGGGTGGATCACCTGAGGTCAGGAGTTCAAGACCAACCTGGCCAACGTGGTGAAACTCCGTCTCTACTAAAACGACAAAAATTAGCCAGGCGTGGTGGGGCATGCCTGTAATCCCAGCTACTCAGGAGGCTGAGGCAGGAGACTAGCTTGAATCCCGGAGGCGGAGGTTGCGGTGGGTTGATATTGCGCCATTGCACTCCAGCCTGGGCGACAAGCATGAAACTCCATCTCAAAAAAAAAAAAAAAAAAAAAAGCAAGCTTAAAAAAAATGTGTAGTGACCATAAGATCAGTGTGCTAATTCCAGAGAAGTTTTCATTTAAAAGAATCTTTTAAGTATTTTAGTACCCCTGTTGCTAATGTTAAAAGCCCATGCATAGTGCACCTACTGGATTATCCTGTTCCTGTTAGACTGAGGATTGCTGGTTTTGCTTTTTTTAAATCAGGAAAGTTTCACAGGTTAAAGGTGCCCCAGGTGGGCAGTAAAAATAAAAGTGAAGGGAATAAGCCAAATTCTTCATCACTGCCCAGTAAGGATCATCCCAACTAACAGGAAAGTGACTGGAAATGTGTTCATGTCAGATGGGGTGAAGGTAGCGGTGGAGCAGGTCCTAGTGTATTTTTTTTTCTATCCAGGATGTGAAAAATACTATAATTTGGATTTTTATTTTAGAAAAGAAAACTCAGGTTGAATTTCCTGAAGACTAGATATTGTAGATAGCAACTCTTTGATATGACCTATTGTTAAACAAATGTGCTTATTATATATTGGGCATTCAATAAATATTTTTGATTGTTGAAATATTTGTTCATTATTGAACGAATATAAACCATTTTGTAATATGATTGACAAATAATTGAAAAAGTAAATCAGCTTAAAATTTTAAATTATCAAAAATTTGTAAGAACAAAGAAAAAATGGCAGAGAGAAAATTGTATTTAATTAAGTCCAGATGCATTTTTAGAAGTTTCTTAATATAAGAAATAAAATTAACATTACTCAACATGAATGGTAACTACAGTAATCCTGTCTGGTTAAGGTAGGAACTTAAAAGAACACATGTACAAATAAACAAATTGATTTTGGTTTAATTTTTATTTATTTACTTATGTATAAATACAGATACAAAACTTATCAGTTTTATGACATTATTATAAATAACTTTAATGCTGTACTAGGAATATATTTAAATATTTGGAAACTCATAGAGATTAATAATAAACAGAAAGAGAAGAAATTACTCTTTCCTATTTGGGGCACTGTCATGTCAAAATAGCAGTCTATTTTCAGTTAATCAACAAAGCTATCAGCAAGTATTTCTAGAATAACTGCAAGATGCTGTGAAATGTACAATTGGTATATTGGATTAGAAGTTTAAAATCTTGATGTCTAATACACATGAAATGGTTAGATAACAATATAGCACATTATATGAATAGGTTTTAAGATAGTGTTTCCATGAGTAAGTCTTTGATATGAGCTCAAAGAAAATAAATAACACTGGGCTGAAGGATGCACTTTGAATGATAGTAAGAAAATGAGAGAGAATATTTATTATGGAATACTTTATGTACCATAATCCTTAAAGTATTCAGTCCACTTCTACTATAAAACAAGTAAATTGTTTTTATTTTCTTTGAAATAAAAAACAAAAGATCTTAAACTATCCACTATTTCTTTTATATATATCTTAGCGTAGGGTCTTGCTCTGTCACCCAGACTGGGTGCAGTGGTGCAATCATAGCTCACTGTAACTTTGAACGCCTAGGCTCAAGTGATTCCCCGCCTCAGCTTCCCAGACAGCCAGTACTACAGGTATGCACCACCATGCCTGGCTATATAAAATATTTTTTAAATGCTTACAGTCTTTGACTGTAATCATTTAAGACATAGATATAAATAAGGGAAGTTACAATTATTTTTCTTCATTAAACTAAAGAAGTGTCATTACAGTAAGAAGTAGACTGCTATGGTATTGATCACACAATTTAAATGAAAACCTTTCCATATACATAATTCTGCCATCCAAAATTTTTTTGATTTGTTTTAAACATACAAACCAAAAGGTACTCCAATGGCAAAAGCAAACCAAACAAGGTATCCAGTTCATCTTGTTCATATAAAACATAAAAACATGATCTGTCAAAGGAATTCACAAGCTCAAAAAATTATTTCCATATGCTATGTAATGCCAGAGGTAATTTTTAAAAATATTCCTATCATCCTAATCTTATAAACATTTTCCAAGCACCTTCTACATGATATAAACATGCTTGATTCTCTAGGGAAGAGAAAAGTAATAGAATGTTTTTCATTATAGACACTGTCCTTGAGAATCTTAAAACGCTTTTTGAGATATGTGCAAATGAAAATAGTAACAATTTCAATATCAGGAAATTTTCCGATATATCTACTGAGTAGCAAAGACAATGCTGACCGCAGACTAAGAATTGGGTACAAATTAAAGCTTTTGGTTTTTGGTTATGATAAAACACGTAAAATCCCTGCTACCCCTGTTTCTTTCAGACTACCTGATTGACATAAAAAAGGGGGAAATTAAAGCAATATGTAAATGAAAAAGCACTGAAACAAGGTGGAATATTCAGGCTGATCTGGTGATGCAGGCCAGGGGCAAAAAAGAGGAAAGATCAAGATAATCTTGTGTGATATTTGTGGCACATATAAAGTACAAGCATCTTGATTAACAAAGAAAATTTGCATATTATTAGAAAAATCATTACACATATAAATACACTTTGAACTATCTCAAAATGTATCCCCTAAAGGCTAAAATATTCTATTTCCCAACAATAAGTTTTAATTATGGATCTACCCACATATTTACTACACAGTTTTAAAGATGACAAATTGGTTAGTTTAGCTTCATCCTCCCTCCTTTATTTTTCATTTAGTTTTTCATAACACATAAGGCTTCTCAGCATCAAATAAATTATATGGTATTTGCTGTAGGAATTATCTTTCAAATTAAAATGTGTGCTTGTTAACATAGTTCCTGATGGTCTACAAGAGATTTGGGCTGTATCTACTTGATATGTAAAGAATCATTTCAGTGGGAAAAAATTAAATCAGGCAAACTGATTTTTCATAAATAAAATTGTTTTGACTAAGCTTTTCACTTTGTAACAGCTTCTTCAGTATTTTTTAAAAACATGAGGTTTTCTTTAGAAATCATCAAAGAAAAATTTGACATTTTCCTGAAATAAGTAGATAGCTATTCAGATAATTAATGTACAATAAGTAGTAGGGGTTTTCTGGTCTTTAATTATTTGGGTGAGTCATCTACATTGATCACATTTATTTGCCAGTATTTGCCACTGATATCTCTGATTTATTCAATATAATCCATGGTTACATGTAACAAGATATTCTGTATTCTTGGGCATAAACACACACACACACACACACACACACACACACACACACTCACTCAGCCAAAAAGCAATTTAAAGTAGAGTTAAAAACAGTTTTAGCAGGAAAGTGAGTAGATTATAAGCACCTTCTGAAAAGCTATTCTCCAGGTGACTTTTTCCTGCTGTGGCTTCACTGTGACAGTGCATTAAAGTTTCATCTAAAACATTTGTATTTTGTTTACGGTTCATTGAGAAAATAAATTCTCCCAGGAGTAAAGGGAATGCTGGTGTGATGCCATTGAGAGATGTGAACACCATAATATGTATTTAATGAATTGCCATTATAAGGTGGACTTACAGCCATTTAGAATGTCAACAGATTTGTTCATTCTAACACTAGGAAACAAAATATACTTGACCGCTTATACCAGTTCTGAAGCTAGGTTCTCTCCTTCAGTTCGAGAAGACCGTGGAGAATGGAAACAACATTTCTCCTGAGGTTGTCAGCCAGACAGGAAGATCAACAGAGGAGACATCACAACAGAGCACCATAATAAGCACTGCCAGGGACTGCTGAGCTCGGAGGCCCTGCCCGTGTGCAGGGGGATTCAGTCTAGCTAAGGAAACAGAGCATAAGTGGGATGAAGGGAAGACCACCTCTGCTCTCTTAGACTTAGCAATTACCCCCTAACAGCTGACAGGGCCATGTCTTAATGCTGAGTTTCACAGGCAAATACATATTAAGCTTATATAAATATACACCTTGAAGTGATGCAGAAGGAGACTGAATGGACAGACACCTTTGGTGTTTTTTTTTTGTTTTTTTGTTTTTTTTTGAGATGGAGTCTCACTCTGTCGCCCAGGCTAGAGTGCAGTAGCCCAGGCTAGAGTGCAGTAGCCGGATCTCAGCTCACTGCAAGCTCCGCCTCCCGGGTTTACACCATTCTCCTGCCTCAGCCTCCCAAGTAGCTGGGACTACAGGCGCCCGCCACCACGCCCAGCTAGTTTTCTTGTATTTCTTTTAGTAGAGACGGGGTTTCACCGTGTTAGCCAGGATGGTCTCGATCTCCTGACCTCGTGATCCGCCGGTCTCGGCCTCCCAAAGTGCTGGGATTACAGGCTTGAGCCACCTTTGGTGTTTTTTAATACAAACACATACTTACATCCCTTCGGGTTTCATGAATACTTAGGACACCATTTACACATTTCATGGGAGGTCAGAACATGGTATCTGCCTTACACTGCTGATGAGTTCCACAATGCGGGTATGCGGAAAAGCGAGAGAACAGCAAGTGGTTGCTGACTATCCCTGGGAGCCCAAGGACAGTCAGGGCTTCTGCAGGAAGAAGGAGACATTGGGGAAAAAAATGGAGAGAGACAAAATTCATCTCCTTCATAATTCTGCCTAGGGCCCACCTTAGCTTCAAAATTTGGTAGTGCTCACAAGGAAAAAGAACTAACCATGAATTAATTAATTCCCCAAGCCACAGCTCAGCTGATCTATTTTCTTGACCTGTGTGGGACTGCTAACATACTTCTCATTCTTGAAAGCTAACCAGTTGGTTGGGGAAGCAAAATTTATGTATATTTTGTTTTTCAAGACCCCATTCTTCCCTGAAACAGTCTACATCCAAGGGGTAAGAGTTTCTAATTGATAAAACAGCAGTGTCTTTATTTTTTTAACTCTTTTTTAACTCTTTTGGATTTAATACTCCAAAATTGTTAATTCCTCATGCCCCCAAACTATTATCAGTTCATAGATAATAGTAAACATCCCCATTTGATCTAAAGCACATGTATACTCTATATGTCATTACATATTAAACCATAGGTACACACACAGAGTTTTACTATTAACATAATATAGTGAACATTCTGATTTTACCCATGGCCATTCTCATATCAATTATAATTTTAAAAAGCAAGAAATTATAAGAGCAAAACAAACATCACGAATGTATTTTCATTGATAATGATAGTTTAAATTAGTATAAACCGTAAATGTTTGTGCGTAACCACATTAAAAATATTTTTCCCTAAATGAAGGAATTCTGACACAAGCTACTAGTAATTGTTGAGCCACTGAAGTTGTAATGCACTTCTGAAACACATGTAATAATCATCAAACCTAAATATATCTCTAATTAAAACAAATCCTGCTATGAGTATGCTGATCAAAAGGAAAGTGCTCTTGATATATTGCTGTTCAATTTAGCCCTCCATCTCTTTTGCGGAAATCTCCCAGGATGATGCAAAGCCATTAGAGTGTGCTACGCACTAAAGCTTCTAGTTTAACTCCAATGGCATGTGTAAAATCCTGGATTATAAATCAGTGTTACAATCTATGCCCAGAAATCCATCTAGACTTATTGTTTAGGAGAAGTATTGGAAGAAGATACACTAAGCGATAGTTAGAGTTGACTTTCAGAAAATATAATAGTTTCAAAACAATGAGTGAAAATTTTCAGTACTTCTCCATTCAACATGTATTATAAAAAATTAGGAAGAATTATCACTCTTCAAAAATGAAGTCCATAAAGGGGTCTACTTCTGATTATTATTAGACTCCATAAAAATGTATGAAAAGATCTGGAAAAATCTGAAAGTACTTTAAAATATTTTATTATTAATATTATTTTCTTTAAATATTGCAAGCTTATCTCTTCATTGCCTACTTTATTATACCACTGTCTTTGCTTTCCCATCTATCTCCCTGAATTTCAGTGTTAATTTCTTCTTAAAAATGTATATGCCATGGCTATTTGATCCCATTGTCACTTTTATTATTACATTATACTAATAAATCTAGTTATTTCTTTTAGTGGATCCTATACTTTTTTAAAAATTGAGATCTTTCAGTACATCCTCTGCAGAACCGACACCTGGTGTCATTGCCATCAAATTCCTGTAAGTTTGTTTAAGAAAGAAAAAATTCAATAAGAAAGTCCACAATTTCCTGAATTTGTTTTCCATGCACCAAAATTTGGAAAATTTTAGCTTTCACATGAAAGTTGGTCCTCTTTTTCTTCTCCTTTTGTTTCCTTCTCTTCTTTACTTTCTTATCTTGTAACTTCATTCCCCCTCCTTTTCCCCCCTCTTGACTCCTTTCTCTTCTGCCTTTTCTCTGACCATTCTTTCATACTATTTGTTTTCTTTTTGGGTTATTAGAAGGCTAGTTAGCTGCTGGAATTTCTTATCTACACTGAAAAGAAGCTACCCAAGAGTGTTCTTTCTGAGAACTTTTACAATATAAATCAATCCCCATTTACTGTTTATGTGAGTATGGTGAAAGTGTAAGAGAAGGGCAAGGTTACACATAATTACCTTGGCCATTTAGAAGGTAGGAGGGTTAATGACAGACTGAAATATAGGGCACATAGGCAAATGAGATGATTTTAACATGGAACAGAAATTAAGTAAAAAGAAAATAAGAGTATCTTGTGCTTTCTTTGTGATAACTCACAACACCAAAATAACAAAGATTTTTATCTGCAGTCATTCAGTATATGTATCTTGTCTCAACAACTAGATGTAAACTAAAACGTACTTGTATTAAACTTCTTTATGTCCTTCAAAATGTAGCATAGCTCTTCACATACACCAGGTGAAAAGGGTTTCAATGACATATACAAATTATGAAATTGGTGACTACTTCAGAAACATTGGCTCAAATTGCTAGAAATTACTATCTAAGCATTTAAACAATGCAACTGGATATAAATGTACGCATACACATGCATACACACAACACATTCCCCCAAAAAGAAAGAAAATTATATGAAAACGTGAAATTGGAAATAAAATACTAGAGAAAATTATATGAAAACATACATATAGTAAGAAAAAATAATTTTCAATCTCGGTAACTTAAAAATAATCAACAATGTTTTCATTATTTTCAGTAACCTAAGTATCTGAGAATTGATTACAGTGAAAAAACAACCTGTGAGTAGCTGTGCAATTAATATTTATAGTGAGATATTGACTTATTATGTGTACTTGGGTAGGTCATGTTATCTTACTTATGCTTCTGTGTCTCTGAAGTGACAATACTATTTGCCTTTTCATCCACCTCCTCTGCAAAGATGCTCTGCAAATAAATGAGGTAATGTTTGGGGAATGTTTGCAGCTTGGGAAAGAAACCCACTGCATACATCTAAGAATATTCCATATTCAAGCCTGGTATATTTTGCCTCTGTTTTAAATTGAAATTGTACTGTTTAAGTTCTTGGGTTCTGACCAAAATCTGGGTCAACATAAGAGAATAATTATTTTTTATTTTAATTCTGAGTCTCTGTTCCCATCTCCTGCATGTGTGAGGGAAAACTGTAGGAAATAAACAAAGCACATAAATCAAGCTTTGGAAGAGAAAAATCTCTATCTGGAAGGATTTCTTTTTTTTTCTTTTTCTTTTTTTTCAATGATGAGCGTGCCCACTATTTCCCTAGAGGAATATTTCGGTCCAGGAAGGAGGATAGTGCATTCAGTGTGAGAGTGTGTGTGTGTGTGTGTGTGTGTGTGCTGTGCGTGCGCGCCCGCGGAGAGAGGGGCGGGGGAGGCGGATGAGGAGGATGAGATCATAGTTTCAGGATCCTCAGGAAACCCTGGTACTGGCAGCAGCCAGCCTCTGCTGTGCCCACATGACCCACAACTCTGGCAGCGGACCCGGCACTTCCAACATTATTAAATAATAAGAAAGCGGCTCCTACTCCAGGCTCAAACCTCCCTGCAGACCAATGGACGCCTTCTAAGAGTTTGGCGAGTCGGTGACTGAAGCGCCCGTCCATTCCAAGGTGTGTGCAAGGCGTTTTCTTCCTTGACAGCTCCAGAGTGGGGGAGGGCGCGGGGGTGGAGGAGGTCCGTGTGCCGGGCGAGGAGTGGGCGCGAGGCCGGGCTGCCGCGCTGCCCACGGCCGCCCGGTGCAGCGGGGCCCGCCGCGGGGCGGGAGGTACACATGACGCGCAGCTCCGAATGCGCAGGGACCGCAGCCGCCCACGGCGCCGGGGTGCGGGCAAAGGCGTCTCGGCGCTGGAGCAAGGGCAGGCGCCGCACACCGACCAAAGTCAAGAGTGGAAGCGGGCGGAGAGCGCCGGCGGGGGCAGGGATTCGCCTCAACGCCCACTCGCGGGGTTCCCACCTGTGCGCCGGCGCCGGCCGCGGCTAGCGCGAAGCATGTGCCGGGCGCCGCAGCCAGGACTGCGGCGCGGCGCCTCCCCGGGCGGCGGGCGGCGCCTCGGGCCCGCGGGGCGGCGGTAGCGGCTGCTGCAGGATGTCCGGCCTGGGGGCGCGGGGCCGCGCAGGTAAATCTCCGCCGCCCTCGAAGGCCCCCGCAGCGCCGCAGCCCCCGCTGCTGCCGCGGCGCCGCTCGGGGGGTGGCGATGGCAGCTGGCTCCCTCGCGTCGCGGGTTGAGTTGTTTTTGTTGTGGTCGCTGCCCTCTTGGTCATCCTCGCGTGCTGAGCTGGTGGGAGGTGGCGTGTCTGCCTCCATTAGGGATGATACTCACGTCGGGGAACAGTGTGAGGGGTATTGACCGGGACATCCGCGATGGGTTCCTTTGCAGCCAGCGGCGTCCTCTCGTGTTGCAATGCACTGCGGTGCCCGGGCCGATGCCAGAGTGGGAGTGGGCTCTGGGCCCTGGGGACGGGGGGCGGCGGGGACGGGTGGGGACGGGGGTGAGTGTCTTCGGCGTTTATAGCCTGTTGCCCACTTCGAAGTTTTCTGCTGGACAGAGGGCAGGCGGGAGGTTCCTTCTGTTATCCGGAGTGGGAGGTGGAGAGAGGTGTCTGTCAAAAGACCAAAGCCAAAGAGAGAAGGGGGTGGCGACCCCGGGGCTGGGACTCAGTGGTACCACTCCTGGGACTTGATGGTAAAACTTTGCTCTTTGGCAGGCTTAGGGTATGACTTTGGGAAGATAACTGTAAAACTTGGCAGGGAGGGGGCAGAGGGAGGCGCAGATATTGGATGTACCTTGCAGTGAAGCTTACCATGCTTTAGGTTCTTACTCTAAAAATTGTCTTTTAAGTTGATGCTTATGTTTTCCTGTTATATGTCATCACTTGGCATTTAATGTGCTTGTGTTTCCTTTCTAATCTAAGAGATACTTGTACTGTTGAAGTGTACAGTTACTGATTTCTTTAAAAAAATAATGGTTTTTTTTCTTTTGCTTATTCCAAAGGTGGAAACTTTAGGAAGAAAGTGTTCCACATGTTCCACGGTTCTATATGGTTTAGATTGATTCACCGTCTTAATTCTTAGACCACCAGGGGGGTAGATAATATTAATAAACAACTTTTGCAGGTGAGAAAATCCAGGCACAGAGAGGCAAAATAACTTACCCAAGGTCATACATTTATTAAGTGTTAGAGTCTAGTTGGACTTTTCATGCGCCCCTAATCAACTCATTATACCTAAAGTCTTCTATATTGACCACATCTTTCTATGAAGATGAGCCTTAATAGATATGTGCTGCATGTTCAGAATAATTAACTCTTTTTCTACTTTTTCTTCTTATTCTAACTTTCAATACTAAAATTATGGCAAATAATGTTTGAGTAGTTTCCTTTCACCACAATTAACCAAGTGTCCTACAATAATTAAAGTTGCATGTCCTACAGTGACTAAAGTTGCATTTCACAACAAAGTTGAGATTTTCAGCAGGTAAGATGTATCAACAAGGTAAATTATTATAAAGCAGATGGCTAAAGCTATGTGTTTGCAATTAATTTTAAATTTCCTAGGTTATTAGTCTGTTCTTTGTTCAGATCATGGCCATCGTTTTCTTCAGAACACCACCATCTTGCAGATTTTTGAGCAAGTTTAGTTGTATTTAATCCACTCACTCTGGGGAGAGTTGGGCAGTTTTAAAAGAATTATGCAATTCTCTTTGGACTATCAGTGATTAGAAGCAAGCTGTATTTTAAGGGCATTCGAGTTTGTCATGTCATTTAGCCAATTGTATGTACTTTATACTGAATTGTGTAGCAGTGAAGACTGAAATCAAATTTTCTCATTAGTTCTAAGTTGAAATACTTTTAAAATCTCCACTTGTTTTAAATGAACCATGATGTGAAGAAAGGTCTCAATGGGGTGAGCTCCAACTTACATGGAGAATTACTCTCACATATTTAGAGAATTACTCTTCATTTGAGCTTATCATAGAGCTTTCACAATATTCATTTTATTGGGCAGATGTCTCTTAAGTCTTCATCTGTTATTTTTTTTCAAGTAAACTTTAATTGCTTCTTCACATAACGAGTTTCAAAATTATTTTGACATTCATAGATTTCCTTTAATTCTCATCTTTCACTTTAATTAAATTCAATATATATAATTTCAAACTCACACTTACTCAACATTATAAGTAAAAAGAGACTAGAATCCAACTAAACGGCACGGAAACATGATCTGTGGATATGAGAAAAAATACTCAGCTCTTCAGTGGTTAACCATCCCCTCCCCGAAACACACACACACACCCCCCCCCCAGAATTATGGCTACATCTTTATTTTGGGATGCTACAGTGCAGTCCTGTGGTCAGAGGGCTTGTATGCCATCAGTCACAAGTGTTTTTGATATTGAAATTGAATTGACTTTTCCAAATCCATTTATATATAGTGTTGATTGTTATCAAGACAAATCCTGTGATACATACATATATCCTTTCTTAACTCAGCGTTCCAGTTTTCTAGCTTCTGTTACTTATTTTAGAGACGGCTTGCTACTTTTATCTCACTTGGTAGTTTTGACATGACCTTTTCCTTTCAAGTCCCACACCTCTAGTTTGAAAGAACTGTACTGTCTCTGCTTCTACAGAGCCTCTTTTCTCCAGGTGTGAGGTGCAAGAGTGGGGTTCAATAGTGAGCAGAAAGATCTGTGAGCCCTGACTGCACAGGGGGACAAGCTTTAATAAAATAATTATACCAATAAATGATTACTTGTAAGTTGAGGTAGGTTTCCTGAATGAAAGAAGGAGTTCTATGAGAATATCTATTAAAGGATTCTGGACTAGACATGGAGGTCAGGACAAGGTGCCTGAAAAGTCACATATTTGTGCGGGAATGACACGTGAGAAGGTGTGTACTAATTCCAGTAATCTTTTACTAAATGCTTGCATGTTAATTTTCTGAATTATGTTCTGAATCAGAGATGTGTGTCACTCTAGTTATCTCTTTACTTCTGTATTCACCAGGAGACATACTGTTTCACCTCATTATCCATCCGTGGACATGGGGGGAGGGTTTACAAAACTATCAGTACTTTTTTCAAAGCACACGGGGCATGTGCTAGCTTTATGTGGTTACTCACCTATTTGCAAAGAGTGATTTAGGTTTAATGTAATATAGTCATTTTCTTTCTTTTCCTTGGCAACTACTTTCAAACTAAAAGAAGTAGTTCTGTGTGGCTTGGGAGGTTTGTTGTTGTTGTTTTTGTTAAAGTGCCAGGATGTCTCAAAATAGAACTTTAATTGATTTATCACACAGTCACTGACATTCTCTCAGCTACTCAAAAGAAGAGAGGAGGCTCCATAGTGATGGAGATGATATTGAGTGCTGAAGATGCTGGGGAAATTCATATTAATGAGTTCAAGCAAACATAGGAGTGACTAAATTTATTGAACACTTACTATGTACTGAGCATCATTCTGTGGTCTCTATATAAATTATGTGATATATTCTTTACAAAAGCCATATGAGGCTTGCATATCATTATCTCAATTTTATAGAAGGGAAAACTGAAGCACAAGGAGGAGAGTAACCCTGACCACTGTCACATAGTTTGAGATGGTCTTTAAAACAAAGCATTCTGATTCTGTATTTCATACTATTAAATATTGATATATAATACCTGGCTCAGAATCTTACTGCTGAATTAAATTTCCATTGCTATTGAAAATCATAACACTACCTAATCTGATATTTTGATTGTTTTTTTAAAAAAAAGCAGTGGAAAAATAGAACTTCCTTTATATGAATATTTTTGCCCCATATTTTATAGGTGAAAAATATACAAAACATGAAGATATATAAATGCTAGACAAAAACAGATGACTAATAGATTATGAGAAATGTTTCATTATATTATGTATTTTTAATTCAAAAATGGTAAATTAAGCACCATTTGAAACTATTAAGGTTGTTAAAATCAAAAGTGTAAGAGTATCTATATTAGCATTTGAAATGATCAGGAAAATAACAGCTAAAGATTCTGTGATCATTAATTAATGTAAGAATTTTAAGGCTGGGCTCGGTGGCTCAAGCCTGTAATCCCAGCACTTTGGGAGGCCGGGGCGTGGGGGTGGATCACCTGGGGTCAGGAGTTCGAGACCAGCCTGGCCAACATTGTGAAACCCTGTTTCTACTAAAAATTCAAAAATTGACCAGGCGCAGTGGCTTATGCTTATAATCCCAGCACTTTGGGAGGCCGAGGCAGGCAGATCACGAGGTCAGGAGATCGAGACCATCCTGGCTAACATAGTAAAACCCCGTCTCTACTAAAAATATGAAAACAAATTAGCTGGAGTGGTGGTGGGTGCTTGTAGTCCTAGCTACTCAGGAGGCTGAGGCAGGAGAATGGTGTGAACCTGGGAGGTGGAGCTTGCAGTGAGCTGAGATCGCACCACTACGCTCCAGCCTGGGCAACAGAGCGAGACTCCATCTCAAAAAATTAAAATAATAATAATAATAATAATGTAACCATCTAAAAATGATTTATTCCTCAATTTAAAAGTAGATTCATCAATAAGTGATGCTCTCATTCTTTTCCAGTAAGAGTTGTATTTAGTCAAGGAATAA